GACTGGATATCATACATTGCCTCGGGAAAGAATGTACTGGAATAGGGATGAAGATATAAGAATTACATTTGTGGCAGAACAGATGTCTCGATCACGATTCCTAGAAATTAAAAGATATATTCATTTGGCAGATAATGACAAGATTGTTCAAGGAGACAAATTATTTAAAGTTCGTTCTTTCATTTCTGCATTGAATACTCGTTTCCAACAATTTGGTGTTTTCAATAAATTTCTTAGTATTGATGAAGAAATGGTACCCTATTTTGGACATCACTCAGCAAAAATGTTTCTACGAGGAAAACCCATTCGTTTTGGGTATAAACTTTGGGTATTAGCATCATCCAGTGGATATCCATTCAATGTACAGGTGTACTGTGGCAAAGAACCACAGACAACAAATGATGAAAGTCATGGACTAGGTCATCGTGTAGTCATGTCACTGTTAGATTGCCTTGAAAATCCTGCTGATCATGAAGTTTTCTTTGACAATTTTTTCACCAACTACTCTTTGCTCAGCTCACTGAAAGAAAAAAATATAAAAGCAACAGGGACAGTAAGAGAAAATCGTTTGACAAAGTGTCCATTGATGGATTCAAAAACAATGAGAAAGAAAGACAGAGGATTTTATGATGCATGTTGTGACAAAAACGTAATCGCGGTCAAGTGGAATGATAATCAATGTGTCATAGTTGCATCAAATTATGATAAAATTCTTCCACTTGGCAAAGCTCGGAGATGGAGCAGCACCAAGAAAGCCTCTGTAGATGTACCTCAACCAGCACTCATTAAAAGGTACAACACACACATGGGAGGAGTCAATTTGCTTGACAGATTTATGGCTTCCTATCGACCAATGTTGAGGTCCAAGAAATGGTGGTGGCCATTGTTCATAAATGGAATAAACATGGCTGTCATAGCAGCCTGGCGACTTCATGTTGAAGTGGGAGGAACTTTTGATCATCTAGATTTCAGGAGATATATTGTGCGTACAATCATGCAACTGCAAGAACCAGCACAGATGATGACAGGACCTTATAGCCAACCTATTCCTGATGTAAGATTCGATATGACGGGTCATCATTTGGTTCTATCTGGGAAGCAATCCAGATGTCGACAATGCAAAAAAAATGCACGTCTTCAATGTAACAAGTGCAATGTTCCATTGCATCTTCACTGTGAAAAAGATTATCACGAAAAACAATAAATTTAACAGTTTTAATAAATGACTAATAAAATTTGACTAAACTATATTTTTTCACAAATTCATTTGATTAAAAAAAATCATTTTTCTTTGCGTTTTACATTTTTTCCATATAATTAAAAGTCTGCTATATTTATTTCTATGTTAAAAAAAAGATGTTCCCAAATGGGAACATGGTAGTTGATGTGCCCATTGTTCCCATTTGGGAACACGCCGCCATTTTGTTACAAATAATAAAATCCAAAAAAATACTTGTGCTAGGGTCTCATATTAGGTATAGCTACCTAACTGAAAAATGTGATACTTTTTGGTAGCGTGGTTGTGATTTGGGCACTAATGGGTTAAAGCAAAGAGCAAACTTCATGCACCTAATAGTCAGTGGAAGCTATGGCTGCAACTTTTTCAGCCACAACCACAACAGACAACACTTCTTAGCTAACCTAAACATCCAGGCACATGGAAACGTTCTGTATTTTCTTTAGCAATACTACAAGTAACAAAACGTACATATATAAAAAAAATTATACAGAATTTATATTATATTTTATTAGTTTTAAGCTATTTTAAAGAAATAAAAAACATTGTAAATAAAATTTTTTATCTTTTATAAAAATAAAAATAATTTTAAGCTTGAAAGTATAAATTTAGGCCTTTAGGGTTGGTTAGGTTAGAAGAGGGTTAGGAAAGAAGAATAACAAAATAGTAGAAAATAATGTACTTACATTTTCTTCGCTGAATCAGTCTCTCGATATTGTTCCTTCATTTTTGCTATTTCAAATTTTTTATAATTAAATGAATTATTAATAAATTGAAAAGCACACCGAGCTCGATCGATTGCATCAAAATATCGACGATAATATAGTATTTAAAAGTAGTAGGAATAAGTAACCAAAGATATTTCAGTTCTATTACATTAAACAATCTTTGCTTTTACCCTACATATTCATATTAATCATATATTAAGAATAAAATAATATACTTTCAATAATACACTTTGCCAGACTGAACTTGTGAAAAACGAAATTAGGAATTACGATTGTTCGGTTATAGTACTAGTCTTTTTAAATATCGTTTTTCCCTTGCGATTGATAATGGACATTTTTTTGGAATCTTATTTTGTCCATCTTCAGCACGCGGCCCGCACATCGCATTCTTCTTTCTCTAATAAATTCAGTCATCATCTGCTATTGAGATGTCTTTCTTATCTCCTCATTCGTCACCTGATCTGTATAGCTGATTTTCATTATTCTTCTAAACAACTTGTTTTCCGCTGCGTTCAACCATGGTCTGGCTACGACATAAGAATGATAAGCTAAAGATATGCAATTGTCTGACATTATTCTGCCCTGCCATATATATGCCGCCAACAGCGTGAAATCCTATAAAATATTTTGAATGTGGTGAAGATAAACACAATGCATTTGGATGGATAAAAAGGGTATCGAAAAATTTTTAAATACATGATGTCGCCATTAAAAGATTATCTAGTCATGGCCGTCAAGGCATCTTATGAGAGGTCTATAAAGGATGTCAGGCTTTGTCGCCTTTTTGACTCCCCTTTTCAAATTGTCACATATACCCCTCATTTAAAGCATGTCAATTTTTTGACTACCCCTCTTGAAAGTTACCACGATTAATGATTCAAAATTAAAGTCAACTACATAAAAAAGCGTTGAATCTTAATAAACACGTAAGTTCTTGAATAAAACGAAAAATTTCGATCACATATAAAACTTGTTAACCATTTTTGGATAAAAATAATTTAATAAATATTATTTTAGAAATTGAAAAAATGCAAAGCAAAAATATGATTTCGTTTTTTTTTGAAATGTGATTTTGCATTGAAAATGTCCATTTATTGGTTTTGTTAGTCATTAAACATTAACTATAGGTATAGGGGAGATGGGGGCTCATTGATCTCTGGGGCACATTGATCTTTAAGCAATAACATAGCTATTTCTAAATATAAATGTAGGCCATCACTATTTTAGTTTTCCTTTTGTTTCTATTCTACTTTTAATCCTATTTGTTTATGGACTTTCTGCCGCTGAAGTTCGAAAAATTAGTAAGTTTGATTTTACAGGGAAAAACCAACTATTCACAACAGGTTAGTTTTGTAAATTAAAAATCAGATAAATATTTGTTTGATAAATTAAATTTTGCAATGTGTAAAGTTATGTCAGAGGCTTATTTTATTATTTAGTTCGATTTTCAATCACAACTTATTGATGAGATATCGCCATTATAGTGTGCTCCATGCCATGGGGGCTCCTTGATCTGTACTAGTAAGGGGTACGTTGATCTGAAGATCAAAGTGCCCCTACTGTCCTCAGATAATAATTCTCCAGGATGTTTAGTCATTTTTCTCTAACCATGCAAAATGCTATTTTTCCATTATTGTAAAATATAATTTGTGTACTTTGCAGGTTTGGTTTCATAATGGTGAGATATCGGGAGCGAAAAACTAATCGAGGTAAAACACCTGTTGAAGTGATGAGAACAGCAGTTGATGAAGTTCTGAAAAAGAACAGAGCTATCAATGCTGTTGCACGTGAAACTGGAATTGACCGAATGACATTGAAGCGATATGTTCGGAAGAGTAGTCTCAGTCCAAGTGTAGGTTTGATACCGAATTGGAATACAAGGCAGGTATTCAATTTAGAACAAGAAGAGATGCTTGCAAAGTATTTGCTGCAAGCATCTAAGATGAACTATGGACTATCCACCAAAACAACTCGCCAGTTCGCATATGATATGGCCGTTGCGAATAATATAACATGCCCATCTTCATGGTCAATGAAAAAAACTGCTGGTATTGATTGGCTCCAGGGTTTTATGAAAAGAAGACCCGAGTTGTCACTACGTGCAGCTGAAGCGACTAGTCTGGCAAGAGCAACAGCATTCAATAAATATAATGTCAGTGAATTAAATATTTTAAAAATTCTTGTCTGATGCTTAAATTTAGCAAAACTGCAAGATACGATTTTTATTTGAAAACAGAATATTTTTTTACAGACTGATGATGTTAACATGGTTCAATCTAATATTCAGTGTTGAAACCATTTCCAAAGGCTTCAGCCAGAAAAAAGCTATTTCGGAACAGGCAACAAAAAACAAGAATTTTAACTGACACTCCAGTTAAACATGAAATTTTTCTTGCAAAAGAAAAAAGTGTGAATAAAAAAAAATGAACATCCGATACAGTAAAAAAACAAAAGCCATGTCAAGCGTTGATTATCTTGGAACACTAGAAAGTGATGACAGTGATGGTGATGCAAGCAATCCTCAGTTGACAGCAGAAGGCCCAAGTCTGGACTACGACTGTTCTGCATTAAAAAATAATGACTATGTTGTAGTAAAATTTAAAACTAAAAAGAAAGTTATTCATTACATTGGCCAAATAATATCGGAAGCTGGAGATTTAATGGTAAAATACTTGAAAAGGGAAAAGATGTCATCATTCAACTTTATCTGTAGAAATGCTGAATTATATCAATTTATAAAAGAGGACATTGTTTGTAAAGTTCCAGATCCAATTCAGCATGGTGGGACTGCTCGAGTCAGTCGTCACTTGGTTTTTCCCGTTGATTTGACAATTTTTAAAGATCTTAATTAATGTTAATTTTTATTAAAAATTATGAATTATTATATCCAATGTGTTTTAACGAGTTTTTTGGAGGCAAATGAACATCAAATCATATTGATTTATACCTAGGATCAATGTACCCCATGGGAGGGATCATGGTACCCCGTATATGGGGTGCTTTGATCCTTTGTAGGGGTTGTACCAAAGTTAAATTTTTTTAAAAATTTCTTGTATTATACAATTGAAACTGAACTTAATACATTAAATGAATGTTCCTCTGTAAATTGCACAAATATTAATATTCACTTTTTGGTTAGTTTCACTGTTGTTACAAAAAAAACCTCAAAACAGATCAATGTGCCCCCATCTCCCCTACTCGTACCTTCTTCATCATCATTGGCATGCCTTACAGTTGGAAAGTTATTTCTCCAAGACGGCTCCACTTAGTGCAGTTACGAGCACAATTTCAAGTTGAGTAAGGGCTGGTGATGATGATTAACAGATCCTTCTCCAATGAACGGAACCAGGCCTGCTTTAGGCGGCCGCATGGTCGAGTTCAACCCACCAAAGGATCTACGGAAAGTATAATAGCTTGGTGATGGTTTCCAAAAATTGGAAGCTATATATACGAACAAAGCCATGAAACGCCTAACAAGGAGCATAGACGAAAGGCTGTTGCATCACTGTTCTAAGTATATGCTGTTGTGGCCTTTCTCGATTTGCCGTTCGTGAGGTGTCTACTTGAAACCTGAACACTTGAAGAAATGTACTTGAAATGATTATTGATATACTATGCATAATATATATATATATATATATATACAATGCATTGTTCATACATATACTGATATACATATAAATGCCAGCCAAGCTGCCAAGAAATGAGCTTTAACAAAACGCCTCACGAATCGCTGGGCCATTACTCGGCCATACTCTTAACTGGTATATTGTTAACATCACAAACATGTTTTTCGCGCACAAGCGCTCCAAAATGCGCAATTGGGACCTCCCCCAGAGAACGTTTCTTATATAGTTAATATGAAAATTCAAGCAAGTTCAGTTCAATAAGTTGCTTTGAAAAATTCTGTATGTGACGCCTTTTCCATGTAACCTTATGTTTTTATCCCATAAAACACGTCTAAAGCGCGGTTAATTGATACCTAACGCTGGTCCCTGAGTTCAGACTCTGGTTGTAACTTTTTAATCAACAATAGCAACATAAACTATTTTTTGTTTTTTTTTTTGTAATTTTATTTGAGCGCCTGAGAGACTAACTGTAAATAAATTTGATGATTTGATGAATTTCAATAGCTATCAAGTGTAGGTTAGCTAAAAAACATCGATAGTTAAAAACAAAGATGTTAAAGAATTCTTTTTATACAGTCAATTAAATTTAGAAAGCTATAATAAATTATATACAAGTGTTCCAAAAACCTAACTTTGTGGAATAATAATTTGGCTAACAGATGAAATAAAATTTTGAATTAAGTACAGTCATTAAATCCTATGTGTACTTTAAATCTACTTAAATATAATAGAAGATAAATTAAAAATAAAAAAAATAAAAGAGGATTTTTGAGAAACATTCAGAAATTTTATGAGGCCCACATTTCTAATTCCTTCATGTCGTCATCATCATCAGCTGTAGCAACTGCAGTTTTGGCTGAAAAAGAAATAAAGCTTATGTTCAATATATGTATATATATTCACTATTAATCATAAAATTCTAAGTATTATCATTTAGAAAACGAAATACATAACATGGATTTGACAGCAAACGATGCTCAAAATAGTTGGATATTTTAGCATCAAATAAATTAAGTAATTGATAATTATCGTAACAAATCTAGGATATAATCAGCGTTATCATTCTGTCAAGGTTTCTACCTGTTGTTTTATTTCACAAAAACTCCAACCTCTTAAATTTCAATAAATAGCATGTTGATACACTAATATCATGTGACATTTGCAACATTTCGATCTCATTATTAAAAATATTTTTTAATAATATGAAAGAAAATTTTTTACTTAGATCAATGAAAAAATATTCAAGAATTGAGAAAATGTTAACCTTTATGTGGGTTGATGGGCTGGTTAGGCACAGAGGGCAAGTCTTCAATGACAGGTCCCACTTTTATCAACTCTTTGTCGAGTTCCTCTTGTTCCAATTCTTCTAACTCAGCTAGTAAATCATCCTAAATAAGATAAACAATTTGAATAAATAATTTAAATGAAGTAAATTATTTGTGTTTAGCAAATTAATTGTGAAAAAAACTGACCTCATCAACATCTTGACCAAAGCCAACTGGATTAGAAATCGCATTTGATATTTCATTAGCAATCTCCTGTTGCTCTGCTACGTCATCCATCAAATTATGTACATCATCAACATTCCTATGAAGTAAATATAACACAATGATAACAACTAATAGTCTTACATGAGTAGTTTAATTAATAATTGAATCTATCTAACATGTGACTATGAGCAGATTTCAAAGCTTTGGCAGCGTCACCCATCACTTTCAGAACCTCTGTGTTTGTTGAAGCATTTTCAAGAGCGTCCCTCTGAAATTCAATTGTTGACAGTGTCCCATCAACTTGCTGTAACTGCTTTTCAAATCTCTTTTTTCTTTTCAGTGCAGCAATAGCGGCTAAATAGAAATTTGTTGTTTAAGAAAATGTTCATTTGATAAGAAGTAAATATAATTTTCATTTTTAATTTGAAACTGTTGACAAATCACAATGCTACTAAAAAATGAAAAAAACAAATTAGCTTTAGATTAAATGTAAGAAATGAAAAATTCAAAATACTAAAAAAGGAAAATTTCCATAAGAGATAAATATATGACATATGTCAATGTGATTCATTATGTTTTAGTACCCTATCTGTGCTTTGTCTATAGATAGAATTATAAACATATCATTTAAATTTTTCTCCACCCTTAATAATATTAAGCATTAACCATGAATCAATTTGTATATGAAGAAATGGAAACAAATATTATTGAAGCACTGTTAAATTTCTGCTAAAGTTTATATATGTGAGAAAATGAACTAAAGGGCTTAATATTAATTTAATTTTTTTTTTATTAAAGTAGCAATAAATAATGGATGCACTATTACCTTTGAATACACATTTAATTACATAGAAATTGAACTATAGTACTCCACCTACTAGTGTAGTACGACCTGACTAAAAAAAATTAATATATTATATTATAAAAAAATATTATAATTATTATTACCAAGTCCAAACAAAAGCAACCACAAGAAAATGCTCACAAATAAAAGACTTATTTTCAAAGATATTTAGTAAGGTAATATAATTTAACTCATTAGCAAACCTCTTTTATTCTTTGTGCCATACTTTTTTGCGGTAGTTATTTCTTCTTCGACTTTCTTCTCTAAGAAGTTTGATTTCTTCTGGAGCATTTCTTCAACCTCCCTCAAACGCTGAATGGCTTCCTGTGGAGTCTGGGTTTTAGCACCTTTCTTACCGAAAAGCGACATAAAATTCATTTTCAGTCTTTGCTATCCTAATACCTAATTTAATCAGTTAATAAAACTTTTTGCGAATTTATTCCAAATCTATTCGTTATAGGTTATACAAATAAAAGTTTGATCGGTAAAACCCGTAAAGGCTCGACGAAAAAAATGTGAATCATAAACACTAAGTGTCATTCGAAAGCGCTGAACTTTTAAAAAATTGACAAAGGAGCTAGCACGTTGAATTTATTACACATAGGATGTGAAATGAACTTGGATAATTCTATGTATACATATATACGTGAGTTATTGGTAAATAAGAAAGAGTGCAAACTAATATAAAATATTATGATTGTGTATATATATATAGATTTTTCCAAACCGCAACCGCCCGCACCCGCAGATTTCACGTCCGCACTGCTCATTATCCGGTCGTCTCAACTCAATCTCATGTTTAAAATTAGAAGATAGCAATACTAGACAGCAATTTATTTACAATATAATTATAATCAGAAGAATTATAGAAGAATTTAATAAATTTCTAATTTAATAATTGTAATAACATCGGCCAGAACAACGAGCACAAAATGAAAGACGACGAGGAACTCAAACAAGCTATTTATTTATTTAATATTTATGAAGATGTTATGTTATATGTTGGTCGTATCAAAATGCATATGTGTACAGTACATAAATATATATTTTTATTTGTATATACGTATGTGTGTATTGTATGTGCATGTGTATATGTGGTGATAAGTATCAAAGATAGATACACTTCACACTTTCGTTTTATATAACACACATGTGCACACACATTTACATATAAATGTATGTATGTATGTGTGTATAACATTGAACTAACTTTCTTTATTCAAATCCACTGAAGTAATTTGTAGAAGCTGCTTTCTTGATTTATCAACGTCGACTCAGCTATTGTCATTAACATGGATATATCCATGGTCATTAAATACACATACATACTCCCACACGTACATATATGCAAACAAACGAAAAAACAAAATTTTTTTATTCTAAAAATTATTGAAAATTAAAATTTTATTTTGCTGGCGGTTGGTTGTTTAAAAATGCACTTGAATCCGCATCCGCGGCAAACCGCACAGACAAAATCCGCAAGCTGCAAAATCCGCTGCAAGTTTGAAACCGCATTGCTGATATCCGCTTGGTGCTCTAGTTCAAAATACAATCACGTCACGCCAATTTTAAAAGACCTCCATTGGCTTACAGTAAAGAAAAAAATTGTATATAAGTTGTTCCTGATACCCAGTTGCAAAAAGCATCACGGGACATTGCAGTTTCAGGACCGGTTCATCGTGTCTAAAAAGCGCCAGAAACGCTTTTTAGCCGCTCGTTCATCGTGTGTCTATAAAGCGATAAAGACGCTTCTTGGCCACCGTTCATCGTGTCCAAAAAACACCAGGGATGCTTCCTAACCACCCTTTCATCGTGTGTCTAGAAAGCGCCAGAGACGCTAGCGACTTGTATATTACCATCAGCGAGAAGTTGGTTTTGCAACCAAACTCGCCGCTTATTCACCGCCAAGAGGCGCTTTCCAGTCCCACATTCACTGTGTGCCAGAAATAGCCAAAGAGAGCAAGCTTTTCACGTATGCAACCACGGGATCAGAAAATTCTACAAATTCTGGCCATAACTTGAAATACCTGTATTCACATACAAATAAAAAAAAACATTATTTAATTCATAATTTGTATCTAGGAAATTCTATAAACGTTAATTTATTATTGAAACATTTTGTATTGCTTAGCTATACGTGCATGCACTCGCGGTTCAATTTTGCCTTGACCATTCAAATTTACTTGAGATCGCTAATTTACAATTGTAAAATACAAAATACAAATATATTCATTTTGTTTGTTCGTTTATGTGTGTGAGTGTGTATGTGTATGTGGGTATGTGTTTGTTTATTTATATATTCTGTTGCTGTTTTTGATTTGATACAAATCTTTAATACAAAGATAGATTGAAAGAATGTGGATTGACAACACTGGAAACAAGAAGATGAAGAGGAGATCTTATATAGATTTATAACCAAGAAAAAAAAAACATCGTTTTCCAAGTTTTTTTTCAACTGGAGAATAGAATAGGACTACGAAGCCACAGATAAAAGCTCTCCAAAAAATAGAAAGTGCCGTCAAGCAAAGATTCTTCAGCAGTAGATTGGTAAACACCTGGAATGATCTGGTTAATGAGACGGTCTCCGCGGAATCAATCAACAGTTTCAAGATCAAGCTCAGAAAGTTAGGATATATATTCATGAGGTCGCCATTCTTTCCTTGGCTTGTAATGAGGCTCACCTTGAATACTTAATTGGAGCCAGGTTTCTAAATTTGCCACTCTTAATTTAAACAGCTTAAATAATACAAATATCCACTATCACAAAGTCAAAATTAAAAAAAAACTGTAAATAAATACTATTCAAAATTACTAATAAAATCAAAGTCTGTTTATTCTTCACAAATAACGACGAAATGTTTTCGGTATTTAGTAATTTTAGTATCTTATCTTTGTTTAAGCGGGGTTCACATTTAATCATAATATATAAACAATGAAAACAAAACGAAAGTTGTTCCATCTTCTTTTGAAACCTGTTTTACTATGAGAATTGTTACTTATTTTTAAAAATTTCTTATTTTTTCATCAAATATTTGATCTATTGCAATGATTCCCGGATCGATAAATCCAATGCAGGTTGGTCAGCCTGGTCACCAAATGCAACAACCCCATGTCATGCATGGAGGTCAGTATTTTTTAAAATTTTGTTATATCCGTTTTAATTTTTAAATTAATAATAATAATAATAAAAATGAATGAAAGTACGCTACGCACATGCCGTCAAAATCAAAGCTCTTGTGTCTCAAATGAATATGCGCCTGATATGAATGAATGCCTAAAATAAAAAGTAAAAACTGAAATATCTACAAATTCATTAATAAATGAATAAAAATTTAAATATTTAATAAAAATATTGAAATTAAAATTAATTATCATTATTTAGTTAGGATTTCAATTGTAGATTTAGTTTCAGGTCTGGGTTTTTAAAGTTTTATAGTAGTTTTTCAAAACTTACAATAACCAAAATAAAATTTTTTGACCATATGAATATGAATAAAACACAATCCTATTACAATTACATACATACAATGAAGACTTAATTCGGTGCAGAGTTAAAGCATATTATTATCAGAACATTCATAATGTACCTATTTAATGTATGAATAAAATAAATGAATTAATTAATATCTCATATTCATTTGAGACATTGGGTAGAACTCTGATTTGGACGGTATTTAAATATTTTACATTGCACTTATACACACATACAATTATAAATCTTCATACTCCAATGTAAAGCTCATGTTTGTTACATTCTAAATAAATAATATAATAACAACGTAATAAAGAAAATAACATTTTACTGAAAAAATTGCTTGGGCTTTTATTATGCTTTGATTAATGTGAATTATTTAAATTAATTGACATTCAGTAAATTCAAATAGAATATCCAAATATTTATAACTTTATTAGTTTTATTTTTAATCTAAATTCAAAAATTAATAATGATCATTGGTTTTAGTTCTGCACTTGAAAATAATAAATGTGATAGGAATGGCAATGCAGCAAGGAATGGGAGGACATGGAATGCACATGGGAGGCATGGGTAACATGGGAACAATGATGGGCCAACAGGCTCCAGGCATGATGATGGCTGCACCGATCAACACTGCGCATATGGTCGGCATCCAACAATTACCACAACCTACCCACCAACAACAAATCCAACAACAGTTTGTACAGCAACAGCAGCAGCAGCAACAACAGCAACAGCAGCAACAACAAATGGATCAGATGGATCCTATCAGCAAGGTTCGACTGATGCTACCACAGCTGAAGGAATCTTTGAACGTTAGTAAAATAAGTCAATTAATTAATTAATTTAATCACCACTGCTATTGCAAGTTTATTCATAAATATATTTTCATTTTTCAAATTATGCCACTTATTTCATTTCTATCACTCAATTTTTAAAACTTCTATAGCGTTGAAATTTTTTTGGAATATGATCCAATGATTCTCATTTCATTCACTTTCTTATTACGATTTACACTATGTAACTCCGACACCCTGGTAAAAAATATTGATGTCTGAATTTCCGATTGTGGAGTTGAGCACTGAGTTCTTTGTTAAAACTTTCTCGATTTTCAAGTTTCATTATCATTTTGGACTCTATATCTACAATATATCGATGGTTTGGGCTCTATATCTACAATATATCAATGGTATGTTCCATCGTTGATGACAGCTTCTTCCACAGATCCTAAGCAATAACTGGCAAAAACTGTCCATGTTTATGTATGTAAAAGTGCAAGTACATGTACGATGTACGTATATTTAGTTGGTCGCTGGATGTCATCAAACAAGCTTAAACAAGAAAACTCAATATTGTTGAAAGAGAACGCCGCATGACCTCAACCGTTAAAATGACAACGAAAATCCAATAACAAATCTTGGAGTCATACTGGATCCTCATCTTTTATTTGAAAAACATGTTAGTCAACTTCGCCAGCGATGTTTCTACCAACTCCACAGAATAAGATTTATCAGACGTTTTTTGACAGTTCAGTCAACGAAAGTACTCGTTTGTAGTTTCATCTGTGGGAGAATTGACTACTGCAATGCGATTATGTTTGGTGTCAACTTATCCCTTCACTAGAACTTCTGAAGCTATTCAATAGGGGCGCTCCACAAATTCTTTGATACAGATACAAATACAGATTTATGATAAATACTACACAAACACACAACAAAATTAATGTGAGCATGAGGAATATAATAGAATGACATTTAAATAAATTTTGCAGAGATTGTACAGCGAGTCATCGACCATGCTGAACAGTAACTTTCAAGATGGATTCGAGTTGGTGTTTTGTTATGTTGTTAAATATTGGTTAAATGATTAAAATATGTCAATGAATTTTGTGTATTGATATAAATGTATTTTGTTGTACATAACCTTATTACATTTACACTTGATGTTGTACATTGATGTATATCCATGTAATGTTGCCCTCTCACGATGTATGCTCATTACTCATGCTTTACACCCACCAGGAAACCGGTGGACCCTTCAGCTTCTAACCGAATAGAAAAGTCACTAGAAAAGTTCCACAGCGTTTGTGACGCCATGGAAGTCAATCTCGTCAGTATTTTTTATTTCATGAATTTCATTCTTATAGTCATTTATAAATCCAACACCTAACTAACTCCACTCGTACGAGTGAACGTTCATTTGATTGAACTTGAATATCTCCGTAATAGAAGCTGTCAATGGAAGTGCTGGTCCACTACACAGAATCGCGCAGGTACGTGGCGCGCAACGTGGCTGACATGACGGCAGGTAGCACGCAGGCAGCGGACGCGCTGACCTACCAGCAGTACGCCAGCGTCGTCAAGTCGCAAGCCGAATACGCTAAAGAGATAAAAGATTTAATTAACGCTTGTGCAAAAAAAGTTAACAAACATCTATCAGTTACTCACGAATGAATAAATGAATGAATGGATGGACGAATGGATAGACAGATGAGTGAATAGATGGAATGAATGGATGGGTGAATAAATGATGACGCGTAACAGACAAATGACTGGACCCAAGGATGAATGAGAACGGAATGCATAACTTAATGAATGGGCAATGTAGATGTTAAATTTTAATATTAAATTTTAATATTGCAAATTTGTTTCTAACTGGTTTTAAAATAAATTGAAGAAAGCCTACATTATTATTTATTATCGTTAATGTATTTATTATTAGCAAATATGAAATAACAAAAACTGGTGTTGTAACAAAACTTTTTATTTCAAAACTTTTTACACCAAACAAGATAATTCAGCAATCAACTAATTATCAAAGTGAAACAACGCGGGTGAAATAATTACAAATCTTCGTGAGATAATGCATTAAAATTATGATTTTTTTGAAATAATGAATTAAATATCTTTCTGAATAAATAGATAAATGAAGAAATAATTGAATGAATGAATGAAAAACAATCAGGCTTCAGAAAGCGCAGCAACTCCTGGCAGGACTTTACCTGTAATTGTGGTTGTAAAAGTGATAGTTATAGATGTTTAATTCATGTTATCGTTTTAAATTTAAATGGTCTTAATTTATTTTATAACCACAAGGCAAGGCGTTATACAAGCTAACACTATGCCAAGAAAAATTCTGTCATAAAATATACATCACACACAATCTTCCAACCTTCAAGCAGTTCCAAACTAGCTCCTCCTCCAGTACTCACGTGACTGACCTTGTCCTCAGCGTTGTATTTGGCACAGACCGTAGCAGTATCACCCCCACCTGGTTTAAATATTAATAAACGTATTTCTGCATATAATTATGAGATATAAAACATCTGTAACTTTAGATGCCTGTTTGAAACAAGTATAATTTGACAGCAATGTTTACACAAGTTACAACACAAGTTACAACACAAATGACAAACCGATAATGGTGATGGCTCCCTTCTTCGTGGCCTCCACAACAGCATCCAACACCTTCTTTGTACCGTTTGCAAAATTTTTAAATTCGAACACTCCTGGCGGACTGAAACGAAGGTAGTGTTGCAAGATCAATCAAAACATCATTGATAAATACTGCACATTAATTTCTTTTTTCTTTTATGAACATTCATCGGAGGACAAATCAGGTATCGGGCAAGAAAATTATAATAAATGAAGGTGCAAGAGTAGTGTCTTGTTGCATGACAAGCAGCTGAACCCACGTTTTAAAATTATCAACTACTTTTTGTCTGTAATGAAACTTAAAACAGACTACCATTCTTAGCTTGTGATTTATAGAGTAAGCACTCAACAATTTAAAAAAATTTCCTATTTATCACCATCACTCTCGTTGCTGAGTTTGTCTGCTTCATACTTTGTGCCTGCCACATCGCCACACTGCGTCATGGGCCAAACAAAACAATCAGCCTAAAATAATAAAGTTTATTTAACAAAGACAAAACGGAATGTAAAAACAGACCCATTCCAAACAATGGTCCTTGCTCTCAAGATGGCTTCAGCAAAGTCATCACCTGTCTTCGGACCAACATCCATTCCCTATTTAAGAAGCAAAATACAAACAAATTAATAAGAAGGTTTTGATAAAAATTCCTCAACAAACAAAAGGATGAACGAAAGATAATAGAGATAAAAAAAATGAAGTCAAATTTTCTGATGCTGACAATTAAAAAAATAAACATTTAAAAATGTCTAATATATGTGAAATGTTTGCAAAAAAATAAGCGAACGAATGATGAGGTGAACGACTACCAAGAGATCATCATTGATTCCACTTTCCAGGCAGGCACAGCCAACAGCAGCATCCTCTGCAAACTTGTCGCCAGTTATGAAATCAACTGGCAGATGTATCTTCACTCCCTTGCTCTTAGCTTTGTCTGCCAGCTTTCCAACGATCTTTGATCCCTCCTCATCAAACAGAGATTTTCCAATCTTTTGAAAAACATTTAACTTGTAAATATTCATGTACATATACAATAAAACGTTGAAAAGAAATTTGGTAAAAAGTATTAATTCAATTGAACGACTCACCTTTGTTCCATGCATAACTTTGAGGAAAGTGAAAGCCATGCCTCCTCCAATGATCATCTCATCAACCTTGTCCAGGAGATTCTCAATCAGTTGGATCTTATCTGCCACTTTAGCACTGTAGCAAAATATGTGTGGAAACATTACGTTATTAAAATGAATAATAAACGTTTTACAACTTCAAAGAATAATTCATGAAACCTACCCTCCCAAAATAGCCAAAAATGGTTTTTCTGGTTTCTCTAAAGCTTTAGCAAAATATTCAAGTTCTTTTTTCAGCAGGAAACCGGCTGCTCTCTGTGGTAACTTGCAGCCAACCATGGAACTAATTTGAAATTCAAATCAACTAAACTGATATACCAATTATGAAAGTTTATAAAGATTCATGATAAAAAAGTTCTTAATGACTCATTTCAAAAAGCTACGTCAAATCAATTGATAATAAAAAGTAAATTATATTTATAGAGGTGAATGAGTAGTTCAAACAAATATTTGCTTACAGAATATGTTTTTGGCTCATACAATTGAACTTAACACCAGAAAGGTGTTTTAAACTGTACCATATAATAAACACTTCGTTATCAATTGCACAATACATCACCAACCAACAACCTATAAAATAATATCAGTTTCTATAGACGTAACTTTATTATTAACTTTCTTATTTCTTATCTGAAAAATATTAAATTAATTAAAAAATATTTTATGTTATTCAACTTATTGGAAAGTAATTACCGCTAGAGTTTGCATAGTTACAAATACAATTTGTGCTATTACAATCAACAGTTGTGTACAACCTATGAGCTCTATGAGCTGTCCCAAATGCGTCATTGATGTACACATCCCCCAGTTTTGATAATGACGCCTGGAAAGCTTCAACTTTTGCTGGGTCTGCTTTTACCTGAATGATATCATGCAAAGCAATTTAATTAAATTTTTAATAATAATACAAAATGTAAATTGAAAATAATTAACTATGTTTTAATACAAATAATAAGACAAATAAGTCCCATAAAAATTTAATGTTCGACATACTCTATTGCCTACTTTCTGTTATATAATTTACTGGAAGCAATGCAAACATCAAACATTTTATATGAAACATTTTATATAATTTTTGCAAGGAACTTCAGTTAAAATATAAAGTACGGTTATGGATGACCAGCTGGAGATAAAAAATAGAATGGCATAATGCAAAAGCTTCCCAGTCAAAGTTCAAAGTTAAATACTGTTGTTCAAGTCCTTTATTTTAAATTCCCATCAAGTTCATTTTAAAAAATTCAACTTATTTGTTGAATTGAAATACAAACACATGACTTATGATTAGGAATGAATAGCAATCACTTGTAAGCAATTATTACCATGGCTTACAACACAAACACGGTAACATGAAAACTACAAAAATTTTAAATTGAATTGAATAAGTTACAAGAAAACTAACTTTGGTTCCATCCTTCAATGTCACTTTGCCTTCCTCTTCAATGTGGAACCTCAGGTTTTCAAGAAGAATGACTGAGCCTGGTGCAGGATTAGCACATGCCTTCTCAACTTCATCGCCAACACAGTCGTGCAAAAACGTAACATCCCTGTCAAACATTATTTAAACATTTCTGTAATTTCAAATCTACATCCTTTATTTTATTCTAATTTTGATTCATCATTAATTATTAACTCTTTAAGGGTAAAAAGACACAATAAAAAATTACATGAGTAAATTTGAATTTACAAAATAAAATACTTGTTGAGCAGTTTCTTCAACTCATCAGCAATTGGAGCCAATGAGAACTTGTCAACTTTCTGTCCATCAGGTCGTCCAAGATGACTCATCAAAACAACTGACCTTGCTCCATTCTCCAATGCATATTTAATTGTTGGCAATGCTGCAACAATTCTTGAAAAAAAAAGTTTTCATAGAAATTTACATTCTGAAAATGTGATAACAAAGTTTTCATAAATTATAATGTGAATGTCTTACAAACAATGACAAAATTCAAAATGTTATCAAAATATCTAACTAATTCTAATGCTAATATTATTTATTATTAGAATAGGAAAAACAAATCAATTTCCCAGTTACTAGTGTAATATTAGTAGTCAGCACATGGCGTGACTGCTAAAATAATCAAGCAAGTGGCATGAAAAATCAAAATTGAACAACCAATTAGAATAAAACGCATCATTTAATTTAGTTTCAAATTCCTTTTTAATAATCAATAACTTAAACAAATTTAATTTAATATAAATAATTGACCAATTAATATTTTAATTTCTAAAGAAATTTTGTAACCTTTGATTATTTGTTATTTTTCCATCCTTTTGAGGAACGTTGAAGTCAACCCTGAGTTTTAGAAATTTAAATAAATTTGATGCAATTTTTGGAATATAAAAATAAAATAAAATAAAGGAATGCTTAAAAAGTATGATCCTAGGTACATAAATAATTTGTATGTGATGTGTGTTGTATTATTTTTGACTCTGCCCATGCTACAAGCTTGCCATGCATAAGGTGAATTACTGCATTTTGTAACTGTGTGTGTAACATCTGTAACAGATTACTCTAGTCTAGTGGCCTCTATCTAATTACTTGCCCTGTTTACAAAATCATCACTACGAAGGGAATTTGGAACCAGTGAATTTTTTTGAGCTTAGGATAAACAGTAAAACAAGGGGGCATAAACATAAGATCTTTGAAAATGGATGAAGCAAAAATTTTTCAGCTGCAGAGTTGTCAACAAGTGGAACAAACTGGGAGATGAAATAATTTTAGCAGAAACAACTGATAACTTTAAATTAACTCCCTTCTTAATTAATATTAAAGCAAACTTGGCAAAAATAGGATGTTAAAAAAACTCAGAGTGGTCCTGCCACAGACTCAGTCTTCTTGGATCACTATAAATAATCTTTGTTATGTTATGTTTACTTTGTATTTGTATTTCTACTTCTAACTCCTCTACTCTTACTTTCGGGGTACCTCAGGGTTCTATCCTTGGCCCTCTTCTATTTATACTCTATATTTCTGAAATACCTCGTATTAATAACTTTTCTTTCTCTAGTCAACTATATGCTGATGATTCTTACATTTATACTTCTTTTCCTCCATCTAATCTCAATAGTGTTCTACATAATTTATCTCTATGTCTTTCTTCAATTATCGCTTGGTCTGACTCTATGTGTCTTAAACTTAATCCTTCTAAGTTTGAATTAATTTGTTTTAATAAATCTAAACACTCTATTACTATTCCTCCTATTATCTTACTTGATTCTAAAGCTCTTGATGTCTCTCATAAGTTTCGTAGTCTAGGTTTTATCTTTGATTCTACTATGTCTCTCTCTTCTCAGATTAATAGTGTTGCTAGAAGCTCTTACTTTCATCTACGTAGAATAAAAAAACTTTTGCCTTTTCTTGATGATCCTACTCTTCTCCTTCTTGTTACTTCGTTAGTCTTATCTAGGATTGATTATTGTAACTCGCTCTACTATGGTCTTCCTGACTCTATACTCTATCCTTTAAGTAAAGCTTTTAACTCTGCTGCTCGTCTAGTTGCTCGTGCCCCTTTCTTTCCTCATATATCTCCATATCTTGTTCTCTTGCACTGGCTACCTATAAAATATAGAATAATTTTTAAAATTTGCACGTTCATGTATAAGTCTCTATCTAAATTATTTCCTAAGTATTTATCAGATATATTAATTGAACCTAAACGCCCCGGTTTACGATCGTCTTCTTCTTCTCGCTTTTTCTTAACTCGTGTTAAACACTCTTTTGCTAAATATGCTTTTGCTTTTTCTGGTCCTTTTCTCTGAAACTCTTTACCTACTTTTCTGACTACTTCTCCATCACTTGCGAAGTTCAGAGCGGATCTCAAGACCCATCTGTTTTCAAAATTCATTGAGGAGCTCTGTTGAACATCGCGGAAATAGCGCTTTATAAGCTAATTGATTGATTGATTGATTGTATTGTATTGTAGAGTTACATGCTGAAAATTGACAGGAGTAGTAAGTACACTTGCTAAATTTTAAATTCAGAATAGTTTAATTTTTAAAAAAATCATAAAGAATAATGAATATAGGACCTGATTAAGATTCTTTTTTGCTTGAGATCAACCTTGTCAATGCTCAGTTTGTTGAGTGCCATCCTGAAAAGTTGGAATCTGCGAAACGTCCCCACGACCGATCAGGCAGTGAAATAATTTCTCTGCAGATTTAACTTTTAGACGACCTCTTTTTATCTAAAGGCCAAGGCTGATAATTTTTTCAATGCTTTTTAAACCAAACTGTTTTAAACTTTACTTATAGATTAATAATTTCACGTATAAATGTCTGAATTTAGTTATAATGCTGATTTTCAATGTTTTCTTATTTTTTATTATTTTTCTAGCTATAATAATTATACAATAGAGTTCAGTTTAGTCATATATATATATATATAGAACACGTGAGCTCAGTGCTTTTGAAGCTTTTAAAACACTTTTAAATCTTTATATAATTATACAATCATTTATGTTATAAAATTTTGTAACAAAAATCTTTTTAAATCTTAAAAAAATTGTTTAGAATTTAAGGTTTTCAACTTTTTAAACACTTTTTCAGTCAAATGTTGTGAATCTTTCCATATTATTTTTTCTTTCACTATTATTTAACATTTTGTTCAGTTGGTGTTTTGGCACCACTTTAAAAAACTTATTTCATAATTTCTAAAGCAGGCGATTTTTTTACACGCGTTTTGTCGCTCCGGTCGGTCCGTCAAACTTCTTCTGAAAATAAATATTAAAATAATCTAAAAATGAATGCGGTGCAAAATGAAGCTACCGATCAATTCCTTCATCGATGGAAAAATTCTTTCAAAGTCTCCTATAATTCTGCTGACAGCAAGTTGGTCGATGCCGAATTTTTGAGGAATCGCGTCCACTTGCTGCACCTGCATGACGTCAACAATCGACAGTTAGCTGATTTTTAAAATTTATGTTTAACCGGAAATTTTATACAGTTTTAATTAAATTTGTATTCCAAATTCCGTGTTAAATATTTAAAAAAATATTAATAAATTTTTAAATAATTCTTAGTTTTTTTTTAAATTTTTGTATAGTATACTCATACTGATACTCAATCTCAATCATATGTTGAAACAAAAATAAAATTATTAAATCTTTCCTTAACTTTTAATTATAAGACTCTTAAATCTTAATTAATTTAATTTTAATTAGCAGTTATTTTTGTTAGCTGTTTGTACTTTTTTATTTATAGTTCAGATCTAAAGCAGAAATACCTGTGTGATTACCATGATTTGGTTGATGATCCAAAAAATGGTGGTCTTTTTTAATTTATTTCCTGATTTGTTTGATTTTGATATTTTGATAAAATTATAGATTATAATTTAAGTTAAAATTTAGCTTTTTTATAGTTAATTGTGAGATTGAAAGGATTTTACCATTTTGTTAATAAAACATTTGTTGCAGGTTTGAATTACTATGCTAACACGCTGTTGTCCCACATTACAAAAACTAACAACAGTTAGATTTGCCCATCTCATGTTTATTCAAATAAATTAATTTACTTTAAACTTACAAATGCTAAAGAAAACATTTGAGAAAATTTTTTAAATGTATTTGAAAATTTTTTCAGATTGTCGATTGTGGAAATCTGACGCAACTGTTGAAAGTTGGATGAAATTGATTAAAAAGAGAGAAGTTAAACAGGTTAACTAATGATTATTTCAAAAGAATTTCTCAAGTAGTTTTGTCCATTTTAAATGAGCTTGCTAATTCATCATGTCAGTACATCTCACATCTTTCTTCCAAAAACTCTCACTAGTTTTTTCTCATTTTTTTGATTATAACTATTAACTACAGTAGTAATTAATTTTAAATTTAGAGTGTAAAGAAAAATGAGTTATCAGACAAGGAGGTAAAATTTATTAGAAGTCCTGCTGCAGCTGAAGTGACAGACCATGTTGCCACAAAGGACCTCAACACAAACCATGACAACTGTACATCTGTCAGTGAACAAACTTCAGACTATGCTGCTAGCAAACCAAATCGTCCTGACAACTACTGTGGTACCAACAGCAGCCACAACAACATTAACTACAGCAGTAACCATAATGCCAACAACAACAATACCAACAACAACAACAACAACAACATCAATAACTGTAGAACGTATTCAACTTGTGATGTTGTTGATAACCCTGCAAACAAACCTCAATTCAATCGTTCAAATTCGGTTAGCAGCTACATTCACAAGCCAAACCAATCCAGCAACTCCACAATAACAACAGAAGATGACCTAGATGAATCTGATTGGATGCTGAAACAACCCCAATCAAAGCGACTCAAACTAGATCAAAGGTCATACAGAGGTCAGTGGAAGAAGTCTAATAAATATGGATCATATAACCGCAACAAAAGCAGAGATGATGATGAAGAAGATAATGATGATGATAGTAACTCTACTCTAGTTACTAATGTATGTATAATACTTGCATGTCACTCATTTGTTCTATATTTTTCAATCACATGTGTTGCATAACTTTCATCATCATCTTCTTCATCATCCTCGTCTTCATCATCATCATCCTCGTCATCATCATCATCACCGCCATCATCATCATCATCATCACCTATATACACTTTTCCAATGCATATTTGAAGGATGCAATCATATCTGTGTGATTAAAATGATGATATCTGATTGTCACATATGCACATTAAGTTCTCTTGTTACTAGTATGACATGATGATGTTGTAGATGGGATGATAATCACGATGATGATGGTGATTAAGATAATGATGATTAAATTGTTGATTATGACGGTAATGATGATTATGATGGCGCCGATAATGAGATGATGATGCTAAGGATGCTGTTAATGATGATGAGCGTGATATTAGTGATGGCTAGGCTGGCTGGTTGGTGGAATGATGATTAAACCTCGATCTTTCAGTCTAGAAGTTACGGTGCATTCAAGACAGCCAAGGAGCAACTAGTTGGTATTCGTTGGGTTAGGGAGTTGGAATTGTTGTTGTAGTTTTGTGGGTAGGCTGGTGATTGGTGGTGTAACAATGGTGATTGGTGTTATGGTGTGAATTGTGTTTTTAAGTAAACTACATCTTTGTTAGACAACATCCAGTCATTCTTATTCTGAAAAATTGTTGAAGAAATTGTTGACAGAGTTGTTTGATATGAGCTGCTATGTGGAGGTAACAGGGTCATAAACGCCAGCAGGGTGTTTATAATTGTTTCCTTGGAGTCATTTCCATCATCACTGTTTTGATTACACCACCACCATTTCATCATTTTCATCTTGGTCAACATTATTTCATACCAATCTTCCACCACAAAGATCATTGATTCAAAAAAGTTGGGCTCTTCGTCATCTTTGTCGTCGTCATCAGCCTACGACGGAACGTACAAGAAATCGCTGGGCGCAAGGTAGCTGTTGTTGTTGTTGATGTTGATGATTCAATGAATGGTGCTCAGCGGTTTTGTTGGTTGATTAGTTGATTGATCTGTCAATAAGTTATTTATATCACTGAATGGATGACCGGCTGGCTGGTAAGGAGTGAGGTGACTGAATGTATGAGGGAATGAATGAGTAAATGAATGAGTAAATGAATGAAGTAGGGACTGAATGCATTTATAAATGATTGATTGAATGAATGAATGGATAAATAATTAAATTATCGATTGATTGTTCCATTTAGAAGGGGCCCAGGCTCGAAGTTTGTCCCCCCTGTACCCAAAGGAAACGAGGATTTGTGAGTTGTTGACATTAACAATTTTTAATATTTTAGTAATCTTCTCACTAATTTACTGCAGACGTTTGTTGCCTGTAACATTTTTCACACATTCCAAACAGTCCACCTAGCATGACTTTTGTTATTTTCTTAATTCTGATTTTCTCATTCCTCATATGATACATACACAGCGACTTCAAACGTCCATTGGCTAATGTTAATTAATGTTAATTGATACATCACCTCATTGAAGTCCTGACAACAGGAAGGCCTACAACGATAACGATCCAACGACAGCTTGCAAGGATCCTGCCCTGCAACATCTTGAACCAAGAATGGTTGAACTGATTTCAAATGAGGTAGGTCTGTTTTACATCATTTCGTTTCGTCAACATTTCGTTTCGTCATCATTTCGTTTCGTCATCATTTCATTTCACTGTCGTCATCGTCCTCATCGTTCTCATCAGCAACATTTTTATTTCTACCGTTTGCTATTACGATTGTTTCATTATCCACAACGATAACTTCATCTCTTTTCATGTAATATAACGCTCATTTCATTTGAAAACTTATTCCTGATTATTTTTTCTTGCATACATAATTTTGTTTATTTCAAAATAGTTATTTTAAGCACACTTGCAACCGGATATTTTTGTTAAAAATAAAGGAACGCTTCCACTTTAGATGATTAATTGAAAATAAGTCAACACAATTTCACTGTAGATAATGGATCATGGGCCACCTGTAGCATGGGAGGACATTGCAGGACTTGAATTTGCTAAGAAGACCATCAAAGAAATTGTGGTGTGGCCAATGTTGAGGCCGTTAGTTCAGTTGAATGACCTGTCTGTCCATTTATGCTTGGTGGGGTTGCTGGTTGTGTGGAACAGTTATTATACAGCTCTGGCTTACATGTTATTCTATATTAATAATTAAACTTTCGTGCCACAAACGCTGCACGATCCAAACCACACGACTTGCCGCATTATATGCACAAGCAACGCATTATACGCGCTTAGCCTTCCGTCGTGATAGTCTTCTGCTTCTGACTGGGTTTTGAACATACTGCATTTAAACCGGATCACCGCGTCATAACAGCGCGAGACAGCTCTTTTATCGACTTCACCTAACTCGCTGAAATTTGCAAACCAGATAGACGAAAGTGAAAAGTTGGTTATCGCATTTATTTCTGAGCTCCGAAGCCGACGTAAATTTATCTAAATTCTGACGATGAAATTCCGATTAGCGGGATTTTTTCAAAATTCGATTCCGAATGAATTCTAAAATTAGCTACTAAATGATTGATATTGGATGATCGTTTGGTAATAATTAATTAATATGATAAAGTTATGAAATACACTACCTACAACCACTATGTTTATTTATTAGTTCCAAAACCCTTTTTAAATCTAGCATTCTTAAGTTAATTAGCATGACTTTTTGTGACTAACTTCTATCACTTTTGTCTAAATGTGTTTTTCATTACTACAATTTTATCACTTTAGCCAAATTTCAATTAAATGTATTTGCTAAAACAGTCATTTATATTTTAAATCTATCTGCATTGAAGCACCTACATATGTATACATAATTATTTATATGTCCTTTCTTTCTTTTTTTAGTTTTATAGACACCTATTGATGTATTGTTTCCATTTTAATCATTTTATTTTCATCATTCCTACTACTTTTATTGGTTCCATTGATTTATCTCCCACTTAATTTCATACTTTGTTAACATTTGTTTTCATTTTACCACTTTCCTGTTTTAAACTTTCTGGAATTTACTGTTATCTTCCTATAGTTAATAATATCTAATAATAAATAATTATATATCATGTGTATTCCATCACTCATTTTCACTGTTTAAGACCTCTTTGCTAATTTATTTCATTTTATTTTTTCTCTGATACATTTTTCTACATTCAGTTCAATGTATGTATATATGTTTTGTATATGTATGTATATTTATGTACTTACGGAGACCGTACAAGTTAGTAATAACGTCTGACTGGTTTCCAAATTCTTTAAATAAATTAAATTTAAATTAATGAGATGTCCCCGTTTTGTGAAAAATTACGAAATTTGCTGGTATTTGCTGAGCAATGTTAAGACATGTTGTTGGATGGAACGTCTCTGTACTTAATTGCAGTGACATCTTCACGGGGTTGCGAGGACCACCAAAGGGACTCTTGCTTTTTGGCCCACCTGGAACTGGAAAGACACTGATTGGTTTGTTTGCATTCCACTTACTTGACCTTCTTGCATACTTAACTTACTTACATTCAAGCATGCATTCAATTTCATTTGACAGAGTTAATGATTAAATGAAATATTATTCCCAAGGAAAGTGCATTGCGAGTCAATCAAAATCAACCTTCTTCAGTATTAGTGCATCTTCACTTACATCAAAATGGGTAAGAAAATTTGCCATTAGTTTGTAAGATTACAAGCAAAATTGTGTTCTTTTTTTATAAAATATTGGCCTTTAGTGCTCAACATTTTCATTTTATCATGCAGAGATTTTCTTGAAATCTATTTTGAAATTTGCAAACCAGATAGGCGAGGGTGAGAAGATGGTGAAAACTCTGTTTGCGGTTGCTCGAGTGCACCAGCCTGCCGTCATCTTCATGGACGAGATCGACTCCCTGCTCTGTCAGAGATCTGAGCAGGAGCATGAGTCATCGAGGAGAATCAAAACTGAATTCCTCGTGCAGTTGGTCAGTTGCTTATTGATGATTTGTGGATGAGGATGGGTTGCTATTGATGGTGGAATGATATGGCCTGATATATTTTAAAAGGCTTGACTTGTAAGCATACTTGGTAAATGATAGCTCAAATGATATGATATCCTGTCTTAAAAATATCCTGTCTTAAAAAATAAAAATTACCTTCATAATAATATTGACCAGGATCTAAATGAGTTCAATGTTTTTTGGATGTTTTTTGTATGAACTTCCGAAGTTTTGCTGATGTTAACTATAAATGATTCAGTGGTGTTAGCAAGTGATGTTTCTATGATATTGCTAATGAATAATGTGAATGCCGTCTTTCAGGATGGCGTAGCAACGGGGGAAGATGATAGAATACTTGTAGTTGGAGCCACGAACAGGTTTGTTGCACTATTCATACATTTTGAAATGTATCAGAAGTATAAAATAATTCACGTTTTTTCAATGGCAGAATGTTATTTCACGTTACAAACTTACTGGTTGCAGTTAAACTCACATTAATAAATTGTTATAAATGTTTACATTTGCAGACCACAGGAAATAGATGAAGCAGCGAGACGTCGATTTGTCAAACGACTCTACATCCCTCTTCCAGAATCGTCTGCTCGTCAGCAAATAATTTGCAGACTGCTGATGAAACAGAGACATAATTTGGCTGAAGATGATGTCACTGTCATCTGCTCAAAAACCGAAGGTGCATTTCGATCAAAGATCTTTTCTTGTAACTCATGGCTGATGTGTCACTTTTCAGCTTTTTGAATTATTGGAAAGTTGTAATCAGTAAGGAAACGATTCAGTTAGCGGGACTTATAGAAATAATTTAAACTGAACATGCAGGATATTCAGGGGCGGATATGGCCAACCTGTGCAGGGAAGCAGCGCTAGGGCCCATCCGAAGACTTGATTTCAACGACATTCAGAACATTAGCGAGGACCAGGTGAGAGGTTTGCTGTCAACATGTTGATGTGTACATGTGCGGTGCATGCATGCATGTTGATGATTGATGATACAAACGCATGCATGATAATACAAACGTATGAATCAAGAACGATGATACCATAAAATCGGATTGTTCACTTTAGTTTTCTTACCCATTAATGCAATCGCTAGGAAGATGTCGCTTCTATATATACTTGAAGATAATATTACATATTTGGGATTTTCATGATTCGTCTATTGGCGAGAGTGTAACATTTGATTGATTCTCGTGAAGCGTCATCGTTTTTTACGTGAAATAATTTCGTTATAATCTTCACAATTTTTTTCAGTTGAAATATTACATCTTAATTTCCAAGAAAGTATGATTTACAGGTTCAGGCGATAGATCTACAAGACTTCCTTAGTGCATTAAAGCAGGTTAAAGCAAGTGTTTCCTCCCAGGATTTGAAGTTGTATCTAGATTGGAATCAAAAGTTTGGAAGTTGGGATGTATAATATTTTTAGGAAAAAGAAGGTTAACCATTCTATGAACATTAAGATGGAAAGATTGTTGAATGTACATTGTCACAATCAAACGTAGGTCATAATAGCTGTTAGTTGGACTGAAACTTTGTTTATTATTGTTCAACATTTACTCGTCATTTTATATTTTCCTCCTATTTATATTTTCGGGTTTTATTTTTTTTATAAATTTTCTATATGAAAACGCGCATGTTCAATTTTGTTTCTAAATTCTTGGAATGAAATTGATAGTTTTGTATATTAAAAATAAATCTTTGAATGCCGCATAGTTATGCCAGATCGACTGATCATCGCCATGCAGCGTATCCAGTGACAGGCGTATTTTGAGTCATCATGAATATTAATACTAATAGCTCCACAGAGACAATAACATGATCAGACATTTAATTTTTAACGGACTCAACCATGTATGAAGGAACCGAACCGATGGTCTCTTTCCAGCACTCTCATTGGCTTTGAAGATGCAGATATTGACAAGAGGTTCCAGCATTTTCGTTTGAAGGGACAAAATAAATTGAAGCTGGCCAAAAAATTAAAACACACCCTGAAGGAATTTTGGAAACAGATAGATAAAACCTGAAAATACTTGATGAAATCAGACCATTTGGTAGACACTAATATTGACGGTTATCTGGTTGAGTGTGTCAGTGATTGTTTGAGTGTCACATCATATTTTGCGAGGGTCGATGATTGCTTGTTTGAGAAATTTGATGTACGTAGTAGTGTGCACCTAGAAAGTGTCTTAGGTCAGTTTTGTTTATCACATTGGTGGGTGAATGACGTTTAAGGAAGGAATTTTGGAAATAGATAAAACCAGAAAATATACTTGGTGAAATTGGACTATGTGATAGACACTGATATTGACGGTTATCTAATTGAGTAGGTCTGTGGTTGTTTGAGTGTCACATCATATTTTTCGAGGGCGAATAATTGCTTGTTTGAGAAATTTGATGTAGGTAGTGGTGTGCACTAAAGGTGAGCGGGAATTGAAATTTGTTCCCAATTCTCTCCCATTTTTTTGTCATTCCCGATTCTCTCCCAAATTCCCATTTATAACAACGTTCCCGAGAATTCTCACTTCCCATTTTTTCAACTCATTCTAGTGTTTTCCCTTCCATTCCCCTTTTTTCCCATTTCGCAAATTTTTGAATACCAAAAACAAATATTTTTTAAAAATGCAAATTTTTAAAAACGTGTTTCAAGTACCAAACAAAATAAAAATCCAAAATCTCTATGAAGTATTAAAACAACAATAATAAACTACAATTATAACAAAACAATTTTATACATGTTTATGAATCTTCCTACTAAGTGACCACAGGTGTGTATGTGTGTGTGCTGACCACATGTCCGCTTACATAAAATTTCTTTGTGGCTCTATTGCTTGCACGTTATTATTTTCTTTGTTCACGCACACGTGTGTACATAATGTGGATGCGTATGTCTCGATCACATGTATTATATATATATATATATGTGTGTGTGTGTGTGTGCGTGTGTGATCGAGACATACATAAAAAAGTGATTCCCTATTCCCTAAAATTTTCATTCCCGAAAATTAGTTTTTACTAATTCTCAACGGATTCCCGCAATTCCCGTTCCCATCCTCACCTCTACGGTGCATCAAGGAAGTGCCTTAGGTCAGTTTTGTTTATCACATGGGTGGTTGAATGACGTTTAAAATTATAGTAAACAGTCTTGTCCTAGCATTGATGATTTGTATTGTAATTCAGAAATCTACAAAAAATTGTGTTATTTCTTTGTTAATTATCTCAATAGAAACTAGAAACAATGCAGTTTGAGAATGTTTTAAAAAACGGCTTCACGCTAGATGCTATTTTGTTAAGAAAAACTTCATAAATACAAATTTTCAGTGATTCAAAAGAAAATGATTATATGTACTGGTTGCAGAAAGTGATTAATTTTGCAATCTGACCTGTAAGTTAACTGAGGAAAATATGAGGAGTGGAAGGGAAACTCAAAAAACAAAGATCAGGTGTGGGCAAACCACTTCCCACCGGTCCATTTTATGTGGCCAACGATCATAGCACGCGATTCAATTTTACGTCTGTCAACAGTTAACATAAATTTTATAACTCAATTTTATGCAAAAATTTAAAACCAAGATTTTGTAATTTGCGCAAATGGCATTTTGTTTTTACTGTTTTGTAAACATTTTTTCGGTAAACCTTGACACACACAACACAAAGCTGAGTGTTTTAGACATTTCTTATTTTCATTTTAAACAATTTCAAGAATTTTGGTGAATACATTTCTATTTTGTTCCTGCTTTATTGTTAATCCGCGTTCAACGGTTGCTATATTTTTAAACACGATTAGTTTGATACAGGGTTTATTCATTCATTCATGCTAGAGATTTAACACCCTAATTTGAATGTAAAAAATACGAATTACATTGTTTAATTGTTTAAAAACTATCGCAGAATAAAATAATCAAATCGCTTGCTATGTGAATTGTTTTTGCACGTTCTAATTACCGGTATTTAAAAACATAAAAGACAGCAATATAAAAATAATTGCAACTAGATGTTACACCTTAAATTATAAATAGTTTATTTATTTATAAACTAGATTGTAAATGACATAAGTCCCTAACAAAATTGATAAAAATGACGGAAAACTGGACGTTGACAACAAGAGATTATCTTCTACTCCAAAACGTAATCAAAAATCAGCAAATTTAGATGTTGAAAGAATTGTTTTTGGCTCTTCGGTTTCATTGACATGTGCAAAGTAACTTGTATCAGTTTCATCTTTGACTTCAGGTTTGAACGGAGATTCAACCTTTTATTTCATATGCAAAAATTAACTAAATGTTAAAAGTTTAACTAAATTTGCAAACGTACCCTTTTTTCAAAGATATCGGTCCAATTGATACTACCAAACCAAAGATGGTTAGTAATGTCGTTTATCCCGTTATTTGTGTTCCCAAGTCGAAATTTTGGATCCGTTTTCAACAAATTTCTTATTAAGTTGATTAAATCTTTGCTAAACGTCGATGGCGTGTAGAACTTTAAAAGTAAAAAATATCATTTCTATTAAATAGATGCCAAATAATAGATATAAATAAATGATTTACAACCAAATAAAAATGTTTAAAACCTGTCCACTAAGAATTCGTTGGTAGGTTTCAGTTTTCGTAAATGCATGAAACGGTACGTAGCCAGCGACCATTTCAAAAATCATAACCCCGAACGCCCACCAGTCGATCGCTTTGTTATATCCCTAAGCATTTTCAATAGCGAAAATATATATCGTTCGTGATAGGTATTCAAATTTTATGTTTCATTTTAAAGAGAACAAATCTATAACGTTTAAATCATTTAAAATATTCAACAAACATATTACTAATATAATTTATCTATAGTACCAACATAATACAACCATACCGAAACGAAAAACAATGATTTACCTGATGTTACAATCACACACATCAAAGGATCAAGCAAATTCATGTAAATAAGCGAACTTTTATAACAATTATCGCTGTTACATACCTTTTTCCTAAGCATTTCCGGTGCAAAATAATCTATAGTCCCACAAATGGTATACGTTTGATCCAAAGTTCTTTTTGCCAAACCAAAATCTGCCAGCTGACAAAGATTTTTGTTAATAAGGAATATTCATTTTGGTACTGGTAGAAATTACGAACATTGCAGTACGTTGGCTTAAAGGCTAATTTTTGAAAACTACACACTATGTATGTATCATTTACTATCTTATATCAAGGCGTCCACGCACGTCGTATGATGTACACAACAAAATTCTTGGCTCCGAAAATGCAATAAATTCAATTTTTAACTAAAAAAGCACTTTAAATAAACAATGTTATTCAGTTCTGTTTTGTTAGAACTCCTTAATAAAATTTATGATTGTAAAATAGTAATAATAACTTCAATATTGCATTTTAATGCAATATAAATTTAACATATTTAGGGTATTCAAACCTTGACGTATCCAAAAGAGTCCAGCAAAATATTCTCTAGCTTCAAATCTCGATAAATAATGTTCAAACCGTGTAAAAAATCCAGAGCTAAGGCTATTTGGGCAGCATAAAACTTTGTATCCGCTTCTCTACGAATAAAAAAAGATTACGAAATAATAGTCTGTTAAAAAGCGGTTAAATAATAATAAAATTTAAACAATAAGTTTAATGTTTTAAAATTTGTTATTAAATTTATTGCGCCCTTCAATCAATTCATTGCGCCTCTTAGAAAATAACTAACGATATTTCGTGTTTTCTTTGAAGCAAGCCAAACAAATCTCCACCAGAACAAAAAGGCATGACCATATACAAATTTCTTGTGTCCTGTTAATTAATAAATTATGTTAACCAGCCTCACTCGGCATAAATATTTTTATATTAAAAAACCAACGTGGAAATGATGAATAATATTGATGATGAACGGAAAATTCATCGATCGTAAAATTCTTTTTTCTAAAAACACCTGGGCCACTTGGTTGGCTTTTAAAACCTGTTCGCGCAGAAAAAAATTAATGACACTTTTAATTATTTGACGTTTCGTTAATCGTGTGAATGTTTCAAAGAGTTAAAATTTACATTATATTTGTTGATGGTTTTTACTGCAAATATTCCGCCGTTTGTTTTGCACTTTGCAACTTTCACCGTACATATTGAACCTGATCCAATCGTTCGAATGAATTCAAAGTTGGATATACCCATGGAATCAGCCTTGAAAATTTTAATAAATTATGATAAAATGTAGTGTCGAATAAAAAATATGAAGCACGTGAATATATGTGATAAATGAATAAGCAAATAAATAAAATGGGTAAAAATAATATATATATACGTATGTGCAAATGTTGGAAGGAGACCATATTTTATACAGTATTGTATGAACTCTACCGATTTGTTGGCATTAATTAATTTCTAGTTTGTCTTTTCAATTTCCTTGCCAGAATTTTCTGGAAATTGTTCAATTTATTGAAAATAGAATAATTATCAAAATTCATCTAAAAAATTTAATAAAACTGTTGTTATCCAAATTCATCATGCTGACAGGCCTTATTTCGATTTTTCATAAATCATCTTCAGTGCAGGTTTGGTTTATATAATATCATTAAACAAAGCAAAGTTAGTTCTTTAGCAAGGTGAGTTAGTTAGCTGGTGTCGTATTCTTCATCTTTGTCATTTCTTTGTACTTAGTTGTTATTGAAGTTGGTAATAAGACTTCGAGTCGGTAATGATGTAATCAGTTTTTGTTGGATGTTTATTTGGGGTTTGTTGATATTTATTAGGATGTAGTGTGTTGATGTTTTGATGAATTTGGATAATTGTTTGAACGAGTGTGATTTTAAAAACATTAGAATTTAAACTATTAATTTGTTATATTACGTCGATGTCTTTAAAAAAATTTTTAAGCCAACATCTGCAAGTCTAAAAAGATAAAGATTGTTTAAAACTTTTTAAGACTGAAGTTGTTGTAATCGCACAATAGATTCAGATTCTTACAATTTACAAACATTCGTTATATAACAGTTTTAATTTTGAACGATTTTATCATGCTTAAGTGGAATGCTAATTATTTTGAAGAGCTATAAACCATTAATTAATATTGACGCATTCGACTAATACAAATTAGTCAGTGTTGACTCACTCCAACAAAAACGTTTAAAAATATTTAAAATATACAACTTTCAAAAAAATGTTACACTAGTAGGTAGAAAACGTAACCTTTCAAGGGTGGTTTTAACAACTTGGAATGCTTTGGTATAAATCAGAAGTTATATATCTTTTTTCGTGTTTGTTAAATAAATGACTTCAAAACAAAATTTTTTTTTGAGATTTTGTAAATAATAAATTTGCTTTTCATTATCTTTACGAATTAACTTTGGGAAGGTGTCGTATCGAAATAGTAGTGTTACTATTATTATCTTATTATATTTATAAATTTTCTAACCAGCCAATTAAATCTGGTTCATAAATGTTTACATTTACAAATGATCTTTTAAATATATGTACTTAAATACTTACTTTGACGTTCGTTTGAAATTTTTCATTAAAATTTTCTTTTAAATTAAG